AGTCTATATTTTTAAAATTGTTTTTTACGTATTTATTTAGGTGAATATTTCATTTATAAATTAATATCCTCAAAATTGTTATTTCTCAAACGTTAACAACTCTATTATGTAGGTACTTCCTCGTCCTCTCTGGTTGTCCCCCAACGTGTTTTAAGAAAGGGAGGGAAATTGAAAAGTTTTCAGGTCTTTAAAGATTTACTTTAAATTTATTTTTAATTTTTAAAAAATTTTTTTGTCAAAAACATTAAAATTTTATTAGAACTTGTTTCCCTCCCTTAATGGTTGTCGATAATCTCATCAAAATTGTTTTTGTTGTGGGAATCCGGTCGAAAAAATGGTTGTTGTATTGTTCTGCTCATTCACCCTCACATTAACAGCAGCAACTCTTTTCCACGTAATTCCCTCGCGCAATGATTTACTCTTTTTTTTTCTACACAATTTTTTGTGTAGATTTTTTTCTTTTCACTCATTTTTGGTTCACAATTTTCTACTTTTTTGCACTTTCCTTTTAAAATTTTTTGAAGCAGGAAATACTTATTTAGAGTACATACATACCAGTCGGGAGTGTTAGATTGTTAGTGAATAAATATACCTTTTAAAAATCAGTTTATATAATTATTCTAAAATGATTAAAAAATTAATTAAAAATTAATATTTTATTTAAAGAAGCTAAAAATTAAAGTCTCAAAATTCCTCACTTTTTTCAATATGTTTAAATTTTTAACCCATATAAATTTTTATTTTCAATCAAAAATTTATTTTGTTAACTTATTTTGTAGAAAATTTAATTCTTCATTTAATTATATCAAAAACTCCTCAAACGGTTCATCTAATCATGAATTATGAGTCTGGAACTGAAGGATAAAACCTTGAACGTCCCTCATTTTCCCTTCCATCTCACTCACTCTCAACAAAAAATTTTTTTTATTTCGATCTCTTCTCTCCCATTTAACATTTTTTTATTCCATTTTCCTCCAAATTTATTCCTTCCATGCATTAGACGGCTGCCTATTTCCCCCCATTTTTGGTTGCTGTTCAAAGTGTCGCCGTTTGCTCATCCGCCAACCGGCGAAATACTGACTGACTTAGAGAAGGAAGAGTAGCACAGCAACAACAGCAACAACAATGACCTTTTTCTTCACTCCTTGAAGAAAGAGCACCCGTTGGGCAAAGAATTTTTTTCGTCTGAAGGGCTGAAACATTCAATTTATTTTTCACGGTCGGTCAATACTTCGATATTTCTATTTATTTCCTCAATTGTTGGGAATTTTTCTTAATTTTTAAGATTTTTATTCATAGTATAATACAGTTCTAAATATCGTAACTATCCCATCATTAACTCTGAAAAGGGAATGTTTCTTTTTAGAACCTTTTTGATTAAATTTTAGGTCAACTAGATCAGCATCATATTTTTTTATATTAATTTCGATTTTTAAATTAGGATTTGAGCTAAAAATATCTTAGTTATTAAGACCATATCCGAAGATCATTCTTTAAAATTTTTCTTTTACGGACAATTTAATTATAATTTAAATAATCACTCAAAGAACTGTCCAATATTTTTGTTAAAATATTAGCAAATAATAGTTTCGAAATATTAATTACAATTATTAATTCAAAATCTTAGACTTAGATTATTTTGCCAATAAAAAATAATTTTCAATTTTTAACTTCCTTTATTTTCGGATATTTACAAATAATTTTATTATTATTCTCGTCATTAAAAATATACATATACCAATTTGTTTTCTAAATACTCTCGTCTTTTCGATTTAATCTAATCGCCTCGATCGCCTCTGTTTCTCAAGCGTGTGTCCTTCAAACCCCCCTTTACATACATAAATTACCATTTATTCTACACCTTTTACCTTTATGTGAACCAAAAATATATTAAAAAATTCTTTTTTACGAACACTTTAATGTCAACGTTCTTTAATAAATTCTAAAGAAAAAATTATAGAATTTTATTTACTTTTTCTAATAATTCTTAAATATTTTTATATGTATTTTTTATTATTAAATTAAATTTTTTATGCTTATTACAATTCTGATTATTTTATTTATTTTAATATCAATCAGAATTTTAATATTTATTCCTTAATAATAAGAAATTTTGATTATTTTTCTTTTAATTCACTCTTATTTTATTTTTAATTCTGATTTTTTTCCGATATGTATTTGATGTTTAATTCTGATTTATATTACTTATGATTATTATTTTTTCTGTTCTCTTTTTATTTTAATTTATTTTTCATTTTATTCTTTTTAAAAATAAACTTAAGGGTCGAAATGAACATAGTACAAAATTTGCTCAGTGCTATTTCCCCCCTTCCAGACGGCGATTTATCCGATCGACTAAATTATTGTTATACAACTACAATCTTAATTATATGTTCAGTATTTGTTTCAGGCTGGAGGTACATATTCTGAACATTTTAGTCTTAATCGAAAATTCCTTAAAGTTTTATTGGCCAACCAATCCAGTGTTGGTTCCCAGCTTATTATAGAGGATGGTGGATGGAATATGCTTTAGATTATTGTTTTGTTCAAAATACTTATTTTGTACAATTTGCTGATATGAAACCAGATAATTATTTTGACATTGCTGAACACATAATTCCAATCCCCAGTAATTGGACTGAACGGGAACAAAAACAAATTGGATATTACCAATGGGTTTTAAAATAATTTTTAGAACAAAAAATAATATAATTATCAAAAGGTCCCTTTCATATTAGCCCTCCAAGCCTTGACATTTTTCCTTCCAGTGGTAATTTGGAGGTCAATTTATGGTTCCACAAATATGAAAGTTAAAGCAATCTGTGAAACTTGCAGTATTAAATCAAATTTGGAGCCTGGGGAGAGAAGCAATAATATGGAAATAATTGCCAGATTTTTAATTTGTAATCATGATGTAACAAAAAGTGTTGGGGGGAAATTACAAACATTGGCAGCTGGGAGAATTGTTCAAATTGCTTATATTGTAAAAATATTCCCCTTAAAATTCAAATAAATTCTTTATAGACAACCAAAATAATTTACGCCTGTAATGCTTTAATGCAATTTATGCTTGTTAAATGGATGTTGGGAGCCCCCGACCCTTTCTGGGGATGGAACGTTATTTCAGACTTGATAGCTGGTAGGGAATGGCCGGAGACTGGAAACTTCCCTCGTGTTACTCTCTGCGATTTTTCGGTGAATGTGACGGAATATTTGTTTTAAAATTAATTTTTTTGTTAATTTCTAGGTCCGTGTTCTAGGTAATCTCCATCGTCATTCAGTGCAATGTGTTTTAATGATTAATATGGTAATTCTCTTAAAATAAATATTTAATTAAAATTGTTAACATTTTTTTAGTTTAATGAAAAGATTTTTGTTTTTCTGTGGTTCTGGTTCTGTTTCATTGCTTTATTTAGTATTATTTCATTATTCCTTTGGCTTTACAGAACTTTTTGTATTGGAAGTAATTATAGACTAATTAATGGTTTTCTTCAACAGGTACCCGGTTTCATCTAAATAATGATCTATTCTTCAAGATCGACCCAATTCCCCATAGAGGACTTGCCAGACGTATACAAATCAATGGATTTATTGAAAATGCTTTACGTCCAGATGGCCTTTTAATTATTCGATTAATATCAATAAATAGTGGAGATTTAATTACTTCTCGATTAATTGCTACACTTTGGTAGGGAAAATATTTTTAAAAATATTTTAAATAAAAATAAATGGTTTAGGCAAGATTATCAACAACGTTTACATGAAATAGACCCTTTAATACCTGAGGAAGAAAATTTTAACGAGCCTGATTCTTTATTAGGCATTAAAAATAAAAATGGAAAGAAAAGTTAAAGTTTGTTCAAAAAAAGTGGAATAAATATGTGATGAACTCATTTATTTTTAGTTTAATTCTGTTAGCTTTTAAAAATATTTATTTCTTGCCAAAATTAGATTTCCTTAATTTAAAATTATTAAAAATTAAGTTTAAACTTTAAGTTCAAACTAGAGTTGGCCACTACCAGTTAGTTACTAACTGGTACCCCCGGTTTTCGGTTAATCCGAATTTAAAATCCAGGTCTTCGATCTTGAGTTTTAGTCAAATACAGGTTCTAGGGGAATTTTTAAAAAATCACTCATTTTCAAAAATTTCCTATCAAAAATTTCCTATCAAAATTTCCGGTTTTAAAATTGGCTTTGTCCAACCCTAATTTAACTTAAAATGAGCAAGTTTTTATTACTAATTAAATTCAATTACAAATTTAAACTTAATTAAAGTTTTAAAAGTTTAAATTTAATTAATTAATCTTCCCTTTATAATAACTTAGCTTGCACACTTTAACACTAAAACTTTCAATTTTTGCTCTTTTAATTAACAAAATTCAAACTTTATTTTATAAAAAAATTAAAAACAAACTAAATTTAAAAAAATTGTTAAAATTTCAATTTTATTATCTTTCACTTTAATTAATTAATTAATTCTTTTTTTTCATTTTTTCTTTAAAAATTTTTGTCTCCAAACATTTTAACGCCCAACATTTTCGCAAATAAATAAATTTCTAAATTAATTTTGATTTTATTTTTAATTGTTAATTTAAACAATAATTATTTTTTTGTTTTTTTGTTTTAAAATAATCTTTTATTTATTTTAGAAAAAAATATTTGCTTTGCAAGATCGAGAATATACTGGACAGCCAATTCATGTAAATATTTTTTGTTTAAAAAATATTAAATAAGTAGCAATAATCTGTTGGAGGAATTAGTAAATATATAGTAAGTGTAAAAATGGGCCATTTTGTAAAAAAAAAGATTTAAATAAAATTTAATAAAAAATATAAAAAAATTTGGAATTGAGGTAAAGACTAGAATGGAACTAAAAATTAAGGGGGAAATAAATTTTTTTAATTGGAAATAGCTTTTAATATTAATTAATTTCGATAATAAATATTTTATTTGAAAATTATTTTTTAAATTAATTTTTATTTTTTTAAAGCATTTAAAAAATGTTTTTCCTCGACAAATTTCTCCAAGGTCTCAAACCCCAATTTGACGACGATGTTGTAGACAGACTTAATTATTACTATACTCCAATGCTTTTTATTGTTTTTGCTTTAACACTTTCTGCTAAACAGTTAATTGAGAAAAGGATTTCAAATTAATTTTAATTTTTGTAGATATGTTGGGCAACCAATTCAATGTTGGATTCCAGCACAATTTACGGGTGCTTGGGTAGAATTTTGGGGAAATTTAAATGAAAATAATTAAATAATTAAGGAACAATATAGCGAGAATTACTGTTTTGTTCAAAATACTTATTTTCTTCCCTTGAATCATTACATTCCACAGGACATTGAACAGAGAGAAGAAAGAGAAATTGGTGGGGGAAATAAAAAAAATTAATAATTAAATATATTAATTAATTAAAAATATGCCCGAATTAAAGTTTTATTCTTAATTAGTAAATTTAAATAAAAATTATTTTAAGAATTACCCTAAAGTTTTATTATTTAATTACAATTATTATAAGGATATTACCAATGGGTGCCATTCGTATTAGGACTACAAGGAATGTTATTTTATCTGCCATCACTTGTCTGGAGAATTTTTAATTGGCAATCAGGTATTTGGGATGAAAATCTCATTACTTGAATTTTTATAAAAAATCTTCTAGGTGTGGCAGTCAAAGGAATAATCCAAATGTGTGAAGATGTAGGTAACATGCAAGTAGACAAAAGAAAAGGCTCGGTTGAGGTTAAAAAATATTTTTTAATAAAAATAATAATTAATATTTAATTAAATTTTATAATGTAAAAAAATCATTTTTCCTAATTTTCCTCAATTATAGATAGCAGCAACACACATTAGAGATTCATTGCGGATGCAACAACAATTCTCCAAAGGATGTAAAATCCTTTTAAATTAAATTTCTAAATTATTTTAAATAAATTAAAGTCATTTTTGCTGGTCTCTTTCGTCGTGGCACTTATTTAAATTGTTTATATTTGGTTGTAAAAGTTTTATATTTACTACAAATTGTTTGCCAATTTGTTATTTTAAACAATTTTCTTGGATCTTCATATACTTTTTGGGGATTTGAAATTTTAAGAGATTTGGCAATGGGGCTGGAATGGCATGAAAGTGGACATTTTCCGAGGTTTTTAGTTAAAGAATATTGACAAAAAGGCAATCCAGGAGAATTGGGGTCCCTGCGGAAAAAAATCTTAAAAATAAGAAAAAGGATTTTTCTAGGGTAAAAAAATATGCTGATTACGAATCTGAACTTAGATTTTGAAAAAGTCGAATCCCGAACCCGAAATTCGAACATTTGACATTTTGGGGAAAATTTTTTGGGGAAAATTTTGGTCAAATTATATATCATTCGAAAGATCTCGACGAGCTGAGTAGAATGACACCAAAATCAACGTAATCCGACAAGTTTTGACAAAGTTATGACACAAAAAACATAGGTTGACGTTGTTTGTTTTTTGTGGTATAACTTCGTCCGATCTTGTTCAATCACGGTGATTTTGGTGTCATTCGACTCAGCTTGAAGAGCTCTTTCGAATGAGGTATAATTTGCATATTCGAATTTTCCACCCCAAAATCAGCTTGGTCCCCCTTTGGTTTTTCGATATTCGAGGACCTATATTCGGGTCGGGATTCGACTTTTTCAAAATCTGAGTTCAGATTCGTAATCAGCATACTTTTTTACCCTAGAAACATAATTTCTCTTATTTTTAAACTTTTTTTTCGCAGGGACCCCAATTCTCCTGGATTGCCGACAAAAAATATCATTTAAATAATTTTAGGGTAACAATGTGTGATTTTGAAGTTCGAGTACTTGGAAATAAACATAGACATACAGTAGGTGTTTTTATTACTATATAAAATATCCTTGAAAAAATCCTCTTAAATAAATCCAAGATAATTAGATATAGGAGGGATGAAAGAGAACTGGGAGAGGTTTGAGCCAAGGGGTGTGGATTTGAAAATTTTTTAGCTCCTGACTGTCGGCGAGTCATTTCTGCATTAAAAAATTTTCTACAAATTATTTAAAATAAAATTTATTTTATTTTTAGGTCCAATGTGTTTTAATGATTAATATGGTTAGATTATTATTTAAATAATTTAAATTAAAATTAAAGTTTAACGAAAAAGTGTTTCTATTTATCTGGTGGTGGCTTCTTCTTATCGGCATTGCCACACTTTTTTCACTAGTTTATTGGCTAACAACACCTAAACAAAGTGTTCCATTTATACGTCAATATTTAAGAGTATATCATCTTGTCAAACAAGATGATCAAAATGGTTAGAAAATAAATACATATATTTAAAAAGATAATAATTTTAATTTAGTGACTGTAGCAGTTGACAAATTTGTTCACCATTATTTGAGATCCGATGGAGTTTTTCTTTTACGATTAATAGGTTAAAGAGTTTTACATAAAGCTTATTTAAATTGCCTATACATAGAATTACGTATTGTTTTTTGACCGTCCCACGTATTGGTTGAAATATTAATTCCTCAGGGGAATTAATGTAATCGAGTAAATACGGTATGCGGTAATTAAGAAATAAGTAACAAAACAAAAACACAAAAGTAATCACGAGCCTAAAAATAAACTTAAAGCAAAAACAAACAAACAAGCTTGTGCTTTAAATAAATTATTTGTTTGCAAACAAAAACATTTTTTTAAATAAATTTTAAAAATAAACTTAAAACACAAAAATAATTTTCTTAAAATAAACTTGCAAACTTTATTAAGTCAATCTTAAAAATTTTATTGCAAAATAAAACTTTTATTTTTTTAGCCTCAAATGCTGGTGATTTAATTACAACAGATTTGGTTTACCAACTTTGGCAAATGTTTATACAAGACGAGTCTGCTCGTATGTCTACTCTGCAACTTGCAGAGGGTTCAGGAACTCCTAAATCTTTAAAGGAAGAAGATAAAAATAGATAATTTTAATTAATCATTTCTTTTTCCCATTCCTTCAATTATTTTCACTTAAATTAATTTAATTTCAAAATTAACATCAACACACAATCTTCACCTTTTCCAATAGCTTTTTCTTTCATTTCCTTCCAATAAATTTACAAACAATTTCTTTAAATTTAATTTGTACTTAACATGTGTAGTTTGCTTGCCTGTCTCTTACATTTTAAATAAAAATTAAATTGAAATTATATTTATTTGTCTTAAATAAGGAAATAAAATTTTTGTGTTTTAATTCCAAGTTGCATTTTTTTAATAATTAAATATATTTCTACACATTTTATTGTTTCAAATTAAAAAATTTTTTTCTTGACATTTAATTTTATTTAATAATAATTATTTTTTGCAAATTTTAATAAAAATTTTTTTATAATTTTTTCCTAAAAATTAGGAAAAAATTAATTATTCTTTTTTTTATTGGACAAAATAAAATTTAAAAAAATTACCCTAAATTTTTAGTAAAAATTACTGTAATTTTGTTTATTTTTTTTTCTCATTTTTATTTTGTAGAATTTCCATTTTTAATTCTTTCCTGAATTATGGTATTTATTTATTTTTATTACTAAATTTATCTTTAAAGATATAAAAGTGCCTAAAAGCTCTAAGTAAGTACCTGTTTAAAAATAAAAAAATTGAGTCTTTCCGTAATGGATTAAATTATTTAATTGACAGAAAATAATAATAAATAAATGACAATTTTAGTATAAATTGTTTATTATTTGTAGACTAATTTAAAAATTGTACTATGGCAGTGCCGACAAACAATTTAAAAATATTTTTTATTTTAAAAGTGCAAATGGTATTTTTGTTTTTTTGGGTAGATTCTATTTATAAAATTCTTTGGATGTATGAGGATATTTAAATGATATTGTTAAAGTAAAAAGTCCCTTTGATACACGTGCGTTAAGGTCTATTGACCCTCATGAACTTTGGCTATTGCTGATCACAAGAATTTTGGCTTTTTGAATATCATATTTGATAGCGAAAATCGGGTTTTATCGCTTCTAAAGAATGGCTTAATATTGATAGAAATGATTGGTATGAAAGAGAGAAGAAGCTGCTTCAAGAGAGCTTTTGACCTCACAAACTTGTATACTAATATCTAAATTACAATTTCCCTGACTAAATAATTTTATAATAATTTCATTAAAAAATAAAAATATTTTTCTAGTTTTCCTTCATTTTCTCGAAAACTTGAGAGAGTTTCCGACCATAACACACTCCTGCACTAATAAACAATTTTTTCTTATTTTTATTACAAATTTAATTTTCTTTCAAATTTTTGTCTAATATTTTCACCTGTTTATGAATTAATTTTGCCAAGCTTTAAAAGTAAGTGCTACTATAAACTAATTTATTTTTTATTTATTTATTAATAAAAAGTAAAGCAATTTTACAATTTATTTACTAGACAAATTAATTTTTGTTTAAAATAAATATAAATAAATATTTATGCCAAATAAGGAAGGAAAACACAAAAATTTTTTAATAGCTTACAGTAATTATTTTTAAATATATTTTCTAAAAATAATTATTTTAAATTAAAAGTACCTTTAATCCTTTAATAAGAGACAAAAATTTTAAAAGATTACTACGCAAATACAAATATTTATATTTGAGGATTTTAAGTACTTTAATTAGGTATATTATTAATTAAAAATAAAATTATTCTGATTTGTATTTTATTAAATATATTTAATAATTCTGAAATTTTGTGCAAATAATAAAAAAATTCTGATTCTTAATTTTATTATCCCTATCAGAATCTTTATTAATTTTCTGATTTTTTATCAGAATAAAATTCTGATTTTTCTTCATTTTTACAGTTCAGACAATATAATTCTGATTTTTGTGTTTCTAAATTTAAAAATAATTTACAAAATTCTGATATAATTTTGTATTTTCTTTAATTTTCTGAACACAAAAGTGTTCAAAAGGAAGTGATAGAAAAATAATATTTTTGATTGTATGTGTGTTTTGATTGTCAATGTACACAAAACTTAGGGGAAGGGGGAAGCAAAAGCTAAACAACACAAAATATTATTTTTATTTACCAGCTTAAAGTGCCAGCACTTTTTTGTGTTGTCAACTTGTTAGCAGCCCCGATCCTTGTTTTTGCTGAATTGCATTTTTTGTGACAAAAAATGCTTTTTAAAAATTATTTTTTATATATTTTTTATAAAATATAAATATTTAATTATTTATTTTTTTAAAGTTTAAAATTTTATTATTTATTCAAAAATTAAAAGAAAATAATTTTTATTTAATTAATAACAAAAAATAATTAATGTACTTTAATCTATCCTGAATAGTACATACATAAAAACTTAATAAATATAACAAACAAATATTATTTTTTTGTTTGTACTTGTTATTTAATTTGAACGTTTGCGTGAGCATTTAGTAGGCGTATAAAATGTGTGTTTTAATTCTAAACAATTGTAGTTAATAATGAGAATTATTAAATTGTAGTTTTGAGAAAATTACAAACGAATATTCTCTTAAAAGTTTATTAAATATTTTTAAATGTCCTTTAATTACAAAGCATTACATTACATTACAATCCACATTACAATTGTTCATATTAGATATCCTTCACGTTTTACGAAATAATTCCGATAAGAACCTTTTTAAATAACAAATTATTTCAATATTAAATTTAGTTAAATTTTATTTATTCAATAATTTTTATTTGTTCTTTTGTTTGATCCTTAATTTTAGGATTAAATTTCTTACGAATATTTAGTGTAGTTACAAACATTCTGATTTTTAGAATTTGATCATGAATATTAAAAGTCTGATTTCTATTTGGTTCGGTCAAAAGTCTGATTTTTAATTTTTATTTAAAATTCCGATATTTATTTCTACACATGTATTTGCTTAATTTATTTAAAAAATATTTAATTTCAATTTAACAATTGATAATCAAAACACATTAAAATAATTTTTAAATAGAAATTCTAAAAATAAAATTTTATTTTTTTATCAACTTTCCTTATTAGGTTTAAAACAAAAATAGAAATTATTTCGTAGAATCTTTTTGTTTTTTTCTAAACTCAAAAATTGTTAAAAAATTTACATTTTTTTGTTTCCGCGTGTGTGTTTTGATATATTTTATTTTTAATATTTTATTAGATTCATAGAAATATTGTAATTTTTAAAAAATTATTTTTTTAGCT